AGAGTGGGCTGACGACAATAAATAACAATATGTGAACAGAGAAAAGGTTTTACATAAATGCTATGACAGGTCCATAATGATCAGGAGTATTAAACTTTTAAATAGGTATGTATGTAACACATTTTATAAATTTAAAAAAAAAGTTTCATTTGACAAACTCAAACTTGTAGTAGAGATGTTTGATCTATACAGTGATGTTTTGAGATTTCTGTAGAGACAAAAAAAACCCAACTGGTATTTCAGAGCCATCCCAACAGGGACAGAAACACTGTCACATTAGTTCTGCTTGACAACAACCACCACCACCAGAATTCCTGGTAAAGAAGCACAAAGCTATCAACTTCAGATTCACCCAACCTGCTACCTACCACATGTTGCTTCCTAATACCAACTGGCGGTTTTGAAATAGAGTTAATTGATGATAAATGTAGAAGTCAAGACTGTCCAACTTCAGTCATGTAACTCTTAAGATTTGACGTTACCTCTCCCATAACCAAAATGCTTTAAAAACTAGCATACAGAGAAAAAGGTGAACTGCTTCCTTGAAGATGAGAATTACTTTCAAAACTAACCATAACTTTTCTACAGATCTGCACATCAGAAGTACATCAGGTAACCTGTAGTATTAAATTCATTTTTATCTTATGTAGGGCACTATTAGCACTAAAAACATTGCAGGAAGTTCACCTTCAGATAAAACATCTTTAGTGCTGCATCCACCTTGACATAAGTTAGCCCAGGGCAAAAAAGAAACTAACCAACCATATCCACTCCATGTTCTGCCACCAGTAACAGTCTTTACTAACGAAAATTAAAAGATGGCTAGTGGAAAGTCTTTTCAAATCGGTACAAGTGCATTATTAGCAATTACTGAAAAAGAAGAAAACCCACAGTAACATCCAGCTATAACAAACCTAAGTTCTGACCTATTACATTTATGAGTACAAAGTTCACAAATTTTCCCATTATAAGAGTGTTCAGTTTAAACTGATGACTGGGCTCACTAAACAGCAGAATTCTTACAGCAGTAGTATCCTCTGAGATTCTACCAGTATACCTCTACTTAAAGTTACCTAAAAAAACCCGCACCGATCAGTATTTTCGTGGTGTTAACAAGCCAATGCAGTTACAAAGCTACCCTCACACAAAGACTTGCCTTGTAACATCTGCCTGAAACAAAGTCTAGAATTAAGTATTTGCAGGGTAAATTCTTAGTGCAGTAAAATTGCACTAGAGGTTAAGAGTCTTCTTTGCTCCTTCCTCCTTCCACCATGAAGGGCAATACTCATACTTGCTGCTGTCATAAGGGTCCTTCCCTTTACCCGCAGCACACGCATTCTGAGAATCTGCTAACCTGCAAACTTTACCTCACTGAGCACAACTGAGTTAACTTCACAACCTCCTGAGGTCTCTTACTTGAAAAGTTAACAGATATCCCGTTACATCAAGCTGCAGGAAAAGAAAAAAAATTATTCCTGGTTTACCTGGTATTCCTTTGTGAAGTTTATAATTATGCTCTTTTCCAACACCTTGTATTAGAAACAAAAACTTTCTTGATTAAAAAATAAATTCCACTGCATTCACAGTAATTTCTGTATTTTTAAATCCAAGCTTTTCATTACTCCATAAAAACTTTGTTAGATTCGTGCAACATTATATGCCCACATAAAAATAAGTCTTAAAACACGATTACCATCTTTCTTTTGGAAAATTCTTTACAATTTCACTAATGATTGGCTGGTAGCAGGAATCTCTCTCAGGCTTTCCCTCTTCACTCCAGTCTCTCACAAATTGTTTCAAAGTAGATTTTAATTTGTCCATGTCAAATGTTGAAGCTGGTGTAATCTTCCCTCTTCCCTAATTAAAGTGGGGAGAAAAAAAAAGTTAGTGGAAAACATACTAAGTATCTTTAATCTTGGAGGGAGGGGGAAGTAAATTATACACAACAAAAGCCATGCTATAAGGGCTGTTGGGAGTTTTAGCTGACAAAGCACTCGCCTTTCACTCCTGGGACCAGGGCTCAAATCCAACCTAGAATCCTAAACAAACTGAGTTTGCTGGTCTCAGTTCGGCACCCAAGAGACCAGGTTCCACATCACAAAACCATACATAGTATGGCATAGCAGAGCACAATTGGTAGTCCTTATTCAGAGAAGGACCGGGGCTGAGCTAGTGCAGAGGCTGAACTGCTTACCCTGAGAAGAGGATCCCTTTAGGTACTGATGAGGCAACACTGAGAAGCTCACATTAGAGCTGCCCATTACTGTACCTTGCCTGCAGATACCAAATAAGGACTTCAGTTTCCATCTCTGCCAGTCTTTTAAGTCTGAGAGCAATTTTTTTGATAGAGATGCCACACTGAAAAAGCAGGTAAGTAGTGAAAAAGTTTTTACAGATACCATTAAAAATATTTGGCCTATCTAAAATTGTAACTGATTTAGAATGCCATAACATATAATAACCTACAGTAAGACAGACAATACCATTTATGCTCTACATAGTTAACTGAAAAAATAACTTGAAAATGTAACCGTGGTAGAGCTAGAACTCTGGAGTGAAAAACTGCTTTTTTTACAGTAAGTGATTACTGCAATTTGCCAGATTCACAATTAGTTTTCAGAAGTTTACAAGGACTAACAACAAATAGTTTTATTAAACATCAGCTCTACAAGATGCGAAAGCCAAGAGTGAGAAAATGTAAGCAAACAGGAAGTAAGGAGAAAATAAAGAAGGCAAAAGGGAAGAAAATTGGAGGCCTAAAGGTGTGAAAAACAAATGTAGAAAATCCCAAAGCGTACAGAATTTAATTTTGATGTATGAAAAACTCCATTTTAACATACGTCTTCTCCATATTCTTTATTTTCAAACATATGAACGCAGTCATTCACAATGGTGTGTAGTATCTCTTGATTATGATCAATGCACTTCCGAATCTTGTCAAGGTGAGGAAGGAATTGAGGAAGAAGACTCTGTTGGTTAGCTGGGAGAGATTTAAACTGCCTCTCTGTTCTGTTCACTCGTTCATGCATATTTGTTCTAAAAAGCAAAAAGTTTAAGGTCTTTAGATATTTAGAAGCAATACATGCAGTAAATAGAAATAATTCATTCTAAGCTACTCCAATTACAATTATTCATTTCCTTAGACACAGAAAGTGATCGTAATTCCTTACTAGAGAACAAATTTTCAAGAATTTTTCAGGCAAAATGTTTGTTTTAAGCTCTAGTTCTACATTACCACTCTGTTTAACGTTGCAGTTTAAGGGGACCATTGTTTTCTTCTTGCAGTTTCATCCTCAGCCATTCATTTCCAGCACAGGTGATCACTACCTCAATACATGGATCTACAAAATTTAATGAACAACCAGTCCCCAAACCCATCAAAACTAGCCAGATTGTTTCACAAATCCAGTTTAAACTGAATGAATAGCTGAATGCTGTGGTAAACTACGAATACAGAAATAACGAGATGTGGAGTGGGAATAGGGATCCTCAAAATCAATTGTTTCTGAAAGAACAGTAAAGGTCACAGCGGGACCATACTGGAGTTCTGGCAGCCACACTGAGGTACTAAACTACCTTCTTTTAACAGCATATTCCCCTCAAGTATGAGTACTGTGAATTTGATCACGTAACTGATCCAAGCTAAAAATAACTCTTCCATTTCCCCAAAATAAAAGTTCCATAAAAAAGGTGAATCTACTGCCAAGTGAAAGAGGTTTATTTTTTTCTTTCCTCTTCCTTCTCCTCACCCAGCACAGTTCTGCCCTCCACCATGTTCTAGCAATCATCAAGCCTGCCACAAAGCTCATTTAACTTGCTAACCTCGAAGAGACCTGTATAGATTTTGCTAGATTTGATTTTTGTCAGTTTAGCAAGTCAAGTTGGCTGAGCACAGTCATAAGGACTCTAGAGAGACAGGTCATAAAGCCGGGACAAGGGATGTGGCCCCTTTTGGCAGCAGCGAATCATTTTATCAGGTCAAGTCATACTGCAGTTTCTCAAACTCCTGTGACAGCATACAGCAGCACAGAGTTGAAAACTAGCCACCAGAGAGAGAGTAAGGTGCAATTGCTGCAATTTTAGTTGCAGCCTCAGTCTGAAAATTTGACCAGTTAGTACCTCCAACATTACATACGTGCTACTGAGAAGGGCATGTTCATTGCAATAGCTACACTGGTTTAAAATGACATTTAAGAACAAAAAACAGAGAAGGAACAATAAGAAAAATAAACTGATCCTCTATATAAAGCACATCAGCTTAGCTTAATATCTTCTTGAAAGTTTTGTCAGAAAAATTCTTTGAACCATAATCCTCCACCCTTTCATGTTGAATTGCAACCTTCTAGCCAAATGAATAAATTCACTGAAATCAGAAGAGCTACACACAAAGAATGAAGCTACATCCATACGTCTCCAGAAGACAAGAACTTTGATCTGGATTCATCTGAAAGTATGTTATTGCCTTACTCGTGCAGGCATTTCCAATTACATTATTTTTAACTCCCAAGATATGTAATTTCACTTAAATTCAGAGTTATTTCTTTGAGGCGGAGGTAATTTAACTCAATTTCTGCACCAGAAATTTGAGTCATATCCTTTTGTTATGCGTTTACCGAAACTGTAGTATTCAAAAGCAACCCAGAGCCACAGTTGAGCATGAGGTTGAGAAAGATGTTCCCAGCTTCTAAGGCCTGAGGATACAATTACATCACTGGTATAAGTAAATAACAGTTGGCTGTTGCGCTAATAGTAATAACTAACATAAAGTCTTTGGTATGGTCAAACTGAATTGAGAATTCAGGTTGGAAGAGACATCAAGGCGTCATCTAGACCAACCTCCCACTCAAATACTAGTCCTGGAAAACAAAACAACCCAAGATATAAAAACAGTAAACAAGAAGAAATACTCTGAATATCAGCCACTCCTTTCAAGAACCTGTCATGTAAAAATTATGCTTGTTATTATATTGACAAAAAGGGTCCAGCACATAATAATGATTCACACGATGGGGGTCTGTCAACTTTAGCATACAAGTATATAATGTAGCTACATCCCAAATCTGCTTTCCATACCTACGGTAACAGAAAACAGTTTACCAAAATACTGTAGAGGACTGGACTTTTTCAGCTAGTCGTCGTCCGTCCGTCCCCCCGCCCCCGCTATTTGAGTAACTTTTGTTTCCTCTTCCATTCAATGGACTCAGATATAGTTGGGTCTCCCCGCCCCCCCGCTTTATCTCATTCCTATGGGGCCATCAAGCCCTTTTCTGACTCAACAAATGACTAAAAAACTAAAGTTATAACAAAATAGCATCCGTTAGCCCTATCACCCGGTCTTATCTCTTGTGCAAATTAACACGTCTTTCAAAAATTTCCCCAATAATCGAGACACCGTTTGCATTTCTTTGCCAGCAGGAGCTACTATTGTTTTGAGTACTTTACAGCGTCTTAGAGCATTTTATCTTACAAGAAGAGAGCTTTTACAACCTTGTCAGGTGTGTCGTACTTTGAGATGGTTTAGTTTTGGGGTTTTTTTCTTTCGTGCTTCCTAGCTGACAAAGACATCGAGGTGACACTGTGCGTATCCGGAAAGGTAAGGGGAGCAGGGGTCCTTTCCCGACTCGGGCTTCTGCGCCCCGCTAAAGGCACCGCGCCCCCCACGGAGCACAGACCGAGGGAGGCCGCCACACGACAGGCGCGGAAGGGCAAAGAGCTCTGGGAGCCAGGCGCCCGGAGCGCCGCCCGCACGGACGGCGAGCTCCCGACCCCTGCGGAGTCAGGTCGGTGGGACCACCGGCGGCCGCGGCGGAAGGGAGGGGACCCTCGCGGGGCCCCGCACACAAGGCGGCCGGGGCCGGGTCCCCGCAGGATGGGGGGGGGGG